ATTTTGAAATGGAAAAAGTTTGCACACACCATTGGAAACACTGTTATCGGTGTTATAGATGTCTTTTCTTTCAAATGCCGTTGGATTTTTTCCGAAATTCAAAATGGCGAACACAAAATTGCGTTCGAAAGGAAAACTTTTTTTTTTAAACTTGACGAATTTTTTCCTCCAAAACTATCAAGTTTAGTGAAAAATTTCTAAGAACAAAAATGTCTTAAAATTAGTCAAGAAATACTCTCAAATTTTTTCAGATTTTTTTACAGAGAATCTGGAAATTTCGCGTTTCCGATTATCCACGAATTCGAAAATGAACTCTCTCGCCTAAAATCCTACCGCGTCGCGATCAGGAAAATTGACTTTTAGCGAGGGTAGCAAAAAAAAATAATTGTTAGACTTGAAATTTTTTAAAATTTTGTGAAACCAATTTGAAAAAAATGTATACTAGGAATAAAATTGATTAATTTTTTACTCAAAAACTATTGACTCAATAAAAAAATTCATAATAACAAAAGAGTCTTAAAATTTACCAAGGAGTACTCTCAATTTTTTTCAGAATTTTCCGAGTTAATTTTTGAATTCGTGGAAAATCGGAAAATCGAAATTTCCAAATTCGCTGTAAAAAAATCTGAAAAAATTTGAGAGTATTTCTTGACTAATTTTAAGACATTTTTGTTCTTAGTAATTTTTCACTAAACTTGATAGTTTTGGAGGAAAAAATTCGTCAAGTTTAAAAAAAAAAAGTTTTCCTTTCGAACGCAGTTTTGTGTTCGCCATTTTGAATTTCGGAAAAAATCTAACGGTATTTGAAAGAAAAGACATCTATAACACCGATAACAGTGTTTCCAATGGTGTGTGCAAACTTTTTCCATTTCAAAAAATATTTTTTTTAGAAAAAAAAACGCGAAAAATTTGTGAATTTTCCGGAAAACCGGCCTATAACGTTTCCGGCTTACAATTTAGGTAAATTTTGTCAACGGCATTCGAAAGAGGAGGTCAAAATCTACAAGATATGATGCTTGATAAATTTTTCATACGATTTTTTCATTAAAAGATATGAGGATGAAAGTTAAGAAAAAATTTGTGTTATTTGGGAGGAAAAGGGTTAAGTCATCTTTGAGAAAACCAAAATCAGATCTTCTAATGACTGACAGAGTAGTCCAGAGAGACTTGTGAATCTGAAGCCCAAAAAAATTTTTTAATCATATTTTTGAGTTTTCATGAGCTAAAACGTTTTCTCCTTTTTTCCAGATTATGTCTCCGCTTGAAATTTTATTTCCGGATTTTCCGTTTTTAAGAAAATTTCGAAAAAAATCGGGCGTTCGTACAGCGCGCAAAATGCATTAAACATTTTTCTTCTGTTTAAAAAGAAATAATATCGATAGCGGATGATAGCTCCTTATTCCCGGATTACGAAACAATTTTCCTTTTGTCGATTTTCTATCCAAAATTGAGGAAAATGTAAAAATTAGTAATATGCGGCAGTTAGTCGATAAAACAGGTCAAACGTTTGCTAATCACCAGATATCCCTATAAGTTCTACATTGTGTAATTATAATAATAAGTAATTTAAAATCTACTCAATTAACCATTCACATTTTATGTACATATACATAAATAATTTTTTCTAAGGTTTTCTATAAGTTTGTCAACATGCCAATTTTATAATTAATATTTTAACTATATAAAATAACATAATTCTGAACAAAGTAATAAAAAAATGGAATTGACTAGTTAAATATATAATATAATAATAATATATAATTTATTTTTCCTTGCTTATGTTACATATACAATATTTATAGATAAACATTGTGAACACTATGTCGTATTATAAAATATATTAAAAACTATAAAACAATAAGGTTAGATTATTTATATTTTTTAATGCAAATACCGAATCGTAATCATTATCCACAAAATTAGCAAAATTGTTGCTACGTTGAAACAAATATATTTTTGACAAAACGCAAATATAGTTTATTTTAACCTGACCTGTATATTGAAGTATTTTTATAATATGCTACTAATGGATTATTACTTTATATTGTTAAGAAGAATGGAAGTAAAATTAAGTTCGTTATTAAATAATTCAACAAATATAAAACTAAGCTATAAGTTTTTTATCAATGATTGTTTTTTTCAATTTTAACTAGTCAATTCAATTTTTTTATTACTTTGTTCAGAATTATGTTATTTTATATAGTTAAAATATTAATTATAAAATTGGCATGTTGACAAACTTATAGAAAACCTTAGAAAAAATTATTTATGTATATGTACATAAAATGTGAATGGTTTATTGAGTAGATTTTGAATTACTTATTATTATAATTACGCAATGTAGAACTTATAGGGATATCTGGTGATTAGCAAACGTTTGACCTATTTTATCGACTAACTGCCGCATATTACTAATTTTTACATTTTCCTCAATTTTGGATAGAAAATCGACAAAAGAAAAATTGTTTCGTAATCCGGGAATAAGGAGCTATCATCCGCTATCGATATTATTTCTTTTTAAACAGAAGAAAAATGTTTAATGCATTTTGCGCGCTGTACGAACGCCCGATTTTTTTCGAAATTTTCTTAAAAACGGAAAATCCGGAAATAAAATTTCAAGCGGAGACATAATCTGGAAAAAAGGAGAAAACGTTTTAGCTCATGAAAACTCAAAAATATGATTAAAAAATTTTTTTGGGCGTCAGATTCACAAGTCTGTCTCAGAGACCCTCTAAAATTAATATTCATAACGACTTTGGTTATTTGACATCTTACAGGTATCGTGAAGATAATTTTTAAAATGTCACAAAAACATCTTCTAAAAGATAAAAATTATCTTTCAAGATGTCTATCAGCTAGAAAGCTCAGGTCAGAAAATTATTTCAGTGATCGTCCTTTGCCATCCCCGCTGCCGTTATACATCTCAGCAAAGTAGCAAATTTTATTATTATTATTATTCACTATTGAACGTAGATTAGATGCTATTTTAGAAGATTGTAAAATGGTGATCATTAGTACCGGTAAAAATAATCATTTATTTGTACTAATGCTACTAATAATTTCGAAAATTCAATCTGCTCAAACGAAAATCCTAATGGTATTAAAAGTATAAATAACGTAAATAACCCCGACAACTCCCTCACGGATTTTTTAGGAGAAAAATTGGCTCACATAATTCAAAACGCAAATGAAAGTCGTGGAATAACAGATTCAAATTGTAATATTTTCAATGATCAACATATTGACATTAATGAGGATAGTCGATTGAGTGATGTAAGTGATCTCTCATTAGATTCAAGTCTCAGTTATGACAGTTTATCAGATGATTTGTGTGAAGTAAAATTTAAGAAAACAAATAATTGTTTTGATTCATTTAAAGATTTAAAAGCACTTTTAACTTTTTAGAATGTTCAATATTGTATATCAGAAAATGCTGTCTCTAGTTTATTGAAGGGTTGGGTTTAAAATATTTTGATTACAGTGAATTACCTGCAAATGCAAGAACTTTAAACGAAACCATTAAAAAAAATTAATGTTTATAACGTTGAAAAACTTGATTCGGGTACTTACGTTCATTATGGCCTTGAAAAAGCTTTAAAAATTCATTTTAATTGTGTTGATCAAAAAAGTATACCAGTTGAAATTATTTTAAATATTCATGTTTATGGCTTATCTGATGCTAAAGTTCAAATAATCAGGTCTGGCCTATTTTGGGTAAAATAATTAAATCGAACGTGTTTAGTGAACCGCTTATGATAGGTGTGTATCATGGAATACGAAAACCAAAAAGTAATACTTTTTTACAATGTTTTATCGAAGAATATTTAAACTTAAACTACGAAGGCTTTGTTTTTAATAATTGTCAATATAAAGTTTTTATAAATGCTATTGTAGCTGATACACTGGCTACGAATTTTATAATGTGTTCTCCAATGTATAATTCCGGGTATGGAAAATGTGTTCAAAAAGGTAAAACCATGAATAAAAGATGATTTTTTTTAGACAACTTTTCTCGTCCTCGGACTAATGGAAATTTTAGAGAAAATCTTCCAGAAAAATATAAAAATATAATTTCACCTTTGGAAGGAGTAGTAAGTTTAGAATCTCAAGTTCCATTAGATCTAATACATCATTTATATTCAGGTGTTGGTTAAAACATACTAAATTATTTATTGAAGAAATAGTAAAAGTTCATCATGGACAGCTGAAAGTTATGTTAAATAACAACTATTGTAATTTACGGGAATGGATGCCAAATGATTTTGCTCGAAAACGTAGGAGTTTTGATGTTTTAAAATATTTCAAATTCACTTAAGTGAGAATGCTAGTTTTATATACTGATCTTGTTATTTTTTCAAAGTATATTAATAATGAGGGAATGATTCATTTCAACTCTTTACATACAGGAGCACGGATTTTGAGTGATTCTGAAAAATGTATATAGCTAAATAAAGTTGCTAAGACTGAATTTATATTTTACATAGATGAAATGATTCATTTGTATGGAGAAATACATGTCAGTTTCAATGTTCATAATTTAGTTCATTTGCCAGATGATTCGATGATTCGATGAGATTTGGTAAACTATAGATTAATTTAGTGCTGCGGAATTTGAAAGTTATCTAGGTCTTATAGGAAAATTAGTTAAAATGGGAGGAATATTTTAGCACAAGTTTTAAATCGAGTTAACGAACGCCCCCATAATAAACTTATAGCTACAAATATTTCATTAAATACAAAACTGTCATCTAATACGTAACATACTGTCTTGATTCCCTTATAGTTTTCTTAAATGATAAAATTTGTAATAATGGAAAGAAGGGAAATAGTGAGAGCTGGAAATTTACTTAGTTTTAATTATATTCAGCAACGTATCATCAGTACATTTGCTGACCTCTTCAGGCTGATTTCTCTCGTAGTCAAATTATTATAGGCTAAAACGAATAGCTTGTAGCCAGTCATTACAGTGATAGACTGAGTGATACAGTGATAAACAATAATTCAGTATTGATTAAATTGTGGCATCAATGAATTATCTAGTCATTTCATTTTTTTTCCAGGTATAACAAGCCCTTACTCAACACCCAAAGGAAATCGGCAAGTCCGATTTTCAATAACACCGAGAATGACAGCTCCATTGTGTGAAGAATATAGAAATCCTACATCCCCCTCTCAATGTTCCGATAATTGCTTCGCAACGACAGCCTATAGTTAAACCTATTTTTCTAAATATCAAGTTCCGACCACAGAATTCACGTAAGAAAACCAATTTTTTTCACGCAGTACTTGTAAGTTTTATAACGATTTATAATTTTTTTATAATTTTTCCAGTTAATATACGTCCATCAGTAACCCCACAACATCAGCTACTAATAATCGTGTCAAACGTTCTAGTTCTGCCATCTTACTATTAACGGAAAATAACAATAATCTAAACCGTGAATTCATCTCCATTGGTAATTTTGTAGCTTTTCTCAAGTAATAAATATGTAAAAAGTTAACAATGTGATGCGTTTCACAGTTCAATTTTTAAATAACATTCACAACGTTTGATTTCATAGAAACCAATCATTTTGAGGTTATCACTGAAGATATACTGATCAATCCACAGTTATTACAAACGTCGTCGCCGAATGATAATCTAGCATTGTTAAATGTGATGAATGACAATGATGACGCGCAACTGAATTGTGAAGAAAACAGTACTAATGAAGAAAGTAGTCAAAAGGAGGACGAAGAGGAAGAATTTCCACCCTTTCATAACAACAACGAAACTCTAAATCTTGTAAATGAGCAAGACGAAAACAGCCACGTATATGTAAATATTGATGTAACTGAGAACGCAAGAGATAACGATATCAGTGAATCTGATATCGTTCTCGCTTCGCTCAGGCGTAAACGCCACACGAGACAAGAATCTACTTTCCCGCACTTGTAATGTACTATTAAGATATCTTTCTGTAGACATCTTTGAAGTGAACTTTAAATTGATGACTAAGATTTCATAAACAAATTTTTTTTAAAAACTCCTCTCTAATATAACATTATGTTATCTTTACTACTTGACGTTAAGATATCTTCAAAATGGATAGTTCAAGTCAACATTCCAGACAACTCATGTTTGCCTGGGTAACCAAGCCTGATAAATGACGGATGGATCTCTAACAAAGCATTCGCTCATTATTCATAAAAATCTCTTTTCATGAATTCATCCAACAAAATAACCAACCAAGGTATAATCATAACAAAACGACTAAACATTTTTATGTCTAGTTATATAATTTTATAAATTTAACGTATAAAGTAAAAACAATCAATTTTATTTTACGACCAATAAATTTATTAATGTATTTAAAATTTGTTCTAAAAATGAAAACTTCATTCAAATGGATACACGAATAATTACATTAATCGTTATGTATACAGCTACAGGTATTAAAGAAAGATTTATTACCGACAGAGATTCCTGTTTTAGCCAAAGTAAATGCTTATAGAATATATCTGAAATGATTGTGGGATAGCGTGTGGTTGCACCAAGAGACATTTTGACAGCAAAGGGAGCAAAATTATAAAAATGCACGACGGATAAATAAGGAAGGGAACCAAAAATAACATCTCCCAGAATTCTAACACGGGTTCGATCATCAATACGGTACCTGCCATCAATTCCTCCGGGGACCTATTCTGAAAAAAAATTTTAGCACGGGGCCTATTCTGAAAAAAATTTTTAGCACATGTCATAAGCATTTATCACATCTAAAGTGATTAATTCTGTGGTAAACTGAAGTGACAAACTGATTTACCACAAAATTTTTTTTCAGAATAGGACCCCCGGGTTGCAGAATTCGTAGCTAATAACAGAAACAAAAGACAGTACAGCTCTGTATTACTCTTAGACGCGAAGCAAGCATTCGACAGAGTCTGGCACGATGGACTAATTTTCAAACTCATCCAGATAAATTGCCCTCACTACTAACTAGCACAACCCTATCTTTTCTTTCCGACAGAACATTTAGAGTCCAAGTCTAGAAAACCCACCCAGACCCCCATCCTATAACAGCGATTATCCCCCAAGGCTCTAGCTCTCACACTCTCTCTTCAGCATATACTGCCATGACATCCCCAGACAAAATAACATAATGACAGCCCAATATGCTGATGACATTGAAATATTGTATGCATTAAAATGCAAAAATTTCTGCGCCTCTGTCGTAAACAAATTCATCCTTAAACTTCTTAATTGGTACCATAATTGGGGCTTTAACCTTAATGAGACGAAGTACGAAGCAACCTTCTCCCACCGTAACATCCATCCTTTTAGAAGACTTGGTAACTGATGGCCATAAGATCCAATGGAGTAATTCTGCGAAATACCTGGGCGTGGTTTTCGACAGAAAACTCTCTTGGACTACACAAACTTGGACTACCGTAAAAACAAAGTTAACGAGGCCTTTGTTTCTCTAAAATCCTTCTTTAACGACATAAATATCTTCCAATAAACTAAAATTCGTGCGTTTAATGCTATTATTCGCAGCATTAGCAGCTACGCCATCCCAGTTTGGAGAACCTCATCACCATCATCATTATTCATTCATGTCTCACCTCACATCTATGGTTTAGAACCTTCGGGTTGGTAACCATGAGAAGGGGTTTTAGTTGGTAGGTACCTCTGGGGCCTTATTGTGGTGTTGGTCATGCGCCCTTGGACGTTGCACAGTGCATTGTGCGTCGATCGTGCCTGTCACAAAGCCAATGTTAATTTGAATAAATTAAATTAACAACAAAAATAGTATTTATCATATAATAAAATATGATCACATTTAAATATACAATAATAATAAATAAGCAGATTTTTTTTATAAATAATCAGCTTCTCTTGGTAATTACATTTAAGGCGGGCCGTATTACAGAAATTTAATGTTAACGAAAAATAGAAATTATCTAGATAATTAGTTACTTATATTTAGTACTAAGTATATATAAATGTAAAATTTTATGAGGTGTAATAAATTTTTATTTATTTTTATTTTTGATTTGATATCAGACTAAAAGAGAATTTTTGTAATAATTTTGGCATTGGTATTCGTTAATTAGATTGTATGATAAATTTCGCAAAGAGCGTCTTTTATCAGATTCTATAAAAAATTTCACAAATAATATTTGTAATTATATTTGAAAAAAAAATTCGAAAGCACTTTTGATAATTATCGTCATGGCACGTTTTTTTGACAGTTAAATGTCAGTACCTTTGATTTGAGTTAATATTTTTGCAATCTAAACAGAGAGATTGCTTAAAAAATAACGAATAATTTCGTTGGTTGTTGGTTTTTATAGCTTTATTAGAAAAAACGGTGCTAACGGCATTAGAGGAATGTTTCTCGAAAAGCGAAAATAATTTTTTTATTTGTATTTTTACCATTAGTTTTCCATCTCTTTTAACCGTTCACACCACAATCTGGAAAAAGATTCGTGAACATTCCGCATATAAGGTCACTATGACGGTTCGTACACCTTTTAATTGGAAAACACGAAATATTGAAAAAAATACCTTTTCCTTATAAAGATTCTAAAAAATGTTTTATTCAACCGATGGACACGAGTTTCAATTGTCTTCTTACCTTTACGAGGTTATAAAAGGATAAAACAATATTTAGAGAAAGTTGCACGAGTTAAGTTACCATAAAGTGATAACATTTAAGATCTGAAACCACGAAAATTCGAGAAAAAATTCCGTATATTTAAAATGCTCTAAAAAATTTCCCAGTCAATAAATCTCTATAAAAAGTGTTTTATCTCTCCTTTGATCGTACATACAAGAGCTTGAAAAAGAATATAGAAAATTTCCTCGTACAGGATCGCGCTATGACGGATGTTACTTTATGAAAAGTGTTTTTATGGTGACTTCACTTATTTCAAAGTCAGCTATGGTTATTTATTGCATGTGAATAGTAATATAAAAATCTAGTAGCAATAATTTATCCATCACTATGTTCAGATTAACAAAACAGAAAATAGTTTTTAAACTATCGACTTATAGTTTTTTGCATATAACCACAAAAATACTTTTAAATATCTACTAATTTTTTTTATTAGTAAAATTTCATGTGATACAATATATCATATAAAATCTCTTCCATGATATTTTATTCAAAAGAAATCTTTTATCGTATGAGAAAATCCTTGTCATGATATTTTTTATCGAATGAAATTTCTTGCATTACCAAGAAAAGATTTTGATATGACAAACACTTCTTTCGATATAAAATATTATGACAAAAATTTAATAATTCTCAGACTTACTGTATCTATAAATCTTTATCTTGCCACTCCCTCTATATATCGGTATCATTTATCTTCGTAGATAACAATCAGATAGTTTCACCTTTAGAAAATTTTGAAAGAAAATAAGTTCCCAGCAATTCTAGAGGTTCGCTATTAGAATAAAGTAAATTAAATTTAAAAAATAAAACATTTTTTATATTTTATTTAAAAAATCATGAAAGTAAACACGATTAGAACAATTCATCCTTAAATGATGTACATTTTAAAACTATAATTGATTTTCAAATCTTTACACGGAAAGTTATTATAACCGAAGTTTTTCTTAAGTTCTTAACGAAAATATCGTTAAAAAGTATTGAAAATCAATGCCGCGATGCGAGACTAATTTACTAAACTTGTTTAGATAATTTTTTCTAATAAACATTAAGATCTCTAAATCGATATACACAGTTGAGAAAATTTTTTCTAAATAATCCAAAGTACATATCGAATTTTGAAAAAAATAACTATCAAAAACTGGAGGTTTTGAGGAACTCTTTAAAGTTTGTTTGGCATTGAAACATTAAATAATGAAGAAATTTAAATAGAAGTTCATTGTTATAGTTATTAATTGCAAGAAAAGAAACAACCAATTTTAGAGCTTAAAGTCAGAGAAAATATTTTCAAAGATAGACTTTATAAAGTAGACCTATATAAAGTTTATAAACATCAAAAATTGAAATTTTGTTCCTATTATATTGGATGCTTCAACATCATCATTATAATGTTCTATTGTAGAAGTAATTTATTTAAGAAAATAGCATAAGGTCTCATTTTATGTTCTCTATGCTACTCTCACTCAAATTTAAGTTGCTATTATCACTTAATTATAATTAAAAATTAGGTTTCAAAAAATTATATATATAATTTATTTGAAAGAAAAATCAAATTCTAAAATAGGAAGAGCACAGAGAAATTAATAGAAGTAAACTTCTTCAAGCCCATTTGTTAGAGTGAGATGAAGGTATATGGAAATGTCGAAGGGTGATATAAATTTCGAAAGTAAATTATAAATATTAATTTAACTTTATTTATAAAAATGGTGTTTGAATGTTGGACTCTGCTGAGACGCGCCACCGAAGGCGACGAGTCCAGTCTCTCCTCCGACCTTTTTCCATCCCCTCTTCAAGGGCCTAAAGGCCGGGGCGTGGTGTTATACTCCGACAGGCTTACTATATCTTCGGTTTTCTTTCTAGATGCCTTTCTGGTGACTACAGACTTGCTGTTTTTAAATTGAGGGATACTCCTTTTCATAACACGTGTTACGCTAGGAAATGTTCGAGGAAATCTCCTTCTCGGCGTACACTGCTGGGGGAGAGTTTTTCCCCATCGGCTCAAGCGCGCGCAGGCGACTATTAAAATTGTCAAAAGACCGTCACAACATCTTTCGGACAGATGTAGTCCTTTTTCGCTGGCTTTATTACAATCGTTTATTTGCTCGTTGTTTATATTTTTTATTCGCTCGATTGTGACCGTACCGCGTTCGAGGAGGCTAGCGACAGTCGTGAGCCAGGTAAGCTACATAAATTCAAACCCCATTTATTACTAAGAATGACCAATTTTCCTTTTCGTGCTCGATCTTTTTTTTTTAATAATTATGATCAACGCGTTCAAGCCAGCTGCGCGCATCATGTTCTATCGTCTTTTTTTATTTTATGTCGTGTTGTTCGGAACACCATTGTCTTATAAGAGTAGCTAATACTTGTACTTTTTGACTTACAAGTGTCGTCAAGTGCGTTTCACGTGCTCATGTCTTGTGTATATTCAGTAATATACTTTCATATTTAAATCGAATCAGAATTATTATGGGCGAAATAAAGAAATTTTAAGTATACTACGAACATAAAACAATTGTATGCTTTGAAATTCTTACCATACGTTGATATTCGCCGATTTAGCAATATTTTAAATCTAA